CTGTCTGGTCCACAGTATTCTTTCTGAGATGTACAAATCTGTTCTGGAGCATTACTAATGTCAGTCCGGTGGAATGATACTGAACACTGAAGACCAATAATGAGTATATATTGTTTAAATCTGTAAATACTGTTCACTGCGGAATGGACTGATAACCTTAGAATTGCATTTCCTTTTCTATTGGTTCAGTGTTACAATCGAGTGCTGGAAGGAAAATGTTAGTACAATCACATTTGATGGGAAAATCCCTTTCTCTCCTCTTTTTCTCCCTTCCCCCAGCCCCAGCCTAGTTGCATATACCAAATCTTCAAGGTTTTCTCACTTTTCAGTCATTTCATCTCTTCTGTCCCTTCTCACTTCCTTCTAAATATCTCCCTCTCATTCTAACCTGGGGGGCTCCTGAGTAGTTATTCTGGGATTTCACTCCCTCCATTGCTTTCCTATGTTACATTTATGACAGTCTCACATTTCTCCCCTTTCTTGATTTACCTCCTCATTTTGCTAGAGGTAACATTTCTGAGTCATCAGATATCTGAACGTTTCCGTATTTCTCCTACATATTTATTTGACAGTTTGGTAGTAAATAGCATCAACTTTAAATTGCTTTTTTTCCCAGGATTTCAAGTGAGCTATGCCATTGATGCCAGTCTGTTTCCTGGAGCCTTATGGTGACCCATTTTTCTTTCTGAAGGCTTTTAGCGTCTTTGGTTCTGGAAGTTCTAAGGTTTAATAATAATGTATCTAAGTATGGATGTTTTTCATTCATGATAAAATTGATGTATTTACAGTGTTAATATAAGACCTTCTATACCCCTTCCTTTTAACTTTCTGATCTCATCTCATTCTGCCACCCCCTTGCTCACTTTGCTCCAGACACACTGGCTCCTCTTTCCTCGAACGTGCCTCAGGGTCATTGCACTGGTTATTCCTTCTGTGTGGAATGCTCTTGCCTCCAATATCTGCATGGCCACTTCCTTACCTCCCCAGGTCTTTGTTCAAATGTCACTTCCTGAAATGTCATCCTATTCAAGCTACCCCATGTAAAATTGTAATCTTCCTCCTGCCCCCATCCAAGCTCTTCTAATCCTGTTGTCCTGATTTAATTTTCTTCATAAACCTATTAGTGAATAAAAAAACATATGCAAACTGTGATATTATAAAGATATATTTGGTCTTTGTTACTGGATCCAGGCCAGAGGTCCTAAAACCCTAGTGATTTCCTAAGTGGTAAGAGGGATGCAAACATCTTTTATTATAATACTTGCTTTTTGTTAATATGAAAGGAGCAATGTTTGTTATTGATAAAAGCTTTTGTCAACCATACTTTAGTTTATGTCAGTGAGGTGGCTTTTGGAAAGCCTCTAAGGGTGTCGGGGAACCAACCATGTGACTTGAGGATTGGAGCTTTCAGCATCCCCTCCAGAGAGATTGAGTGAAAATACCAAAGGCTAATGTTTTAATCATTATGCCTACTTAATGAAGCCTCCATAAAAAACCCTAACTTAAGGGATTTGGAGGGCTTCCAGGTTGGTGAGGAGGTGCTGGTGAGGAGGTACTGGGAGGGTGGCATGCCTGGAAAGGACACAGCAAGTCTGCACCCCTTTTCCCATACTTTGTTTTATGCATTCCATCTGGCTAATCTTGAATTGTATCTTTCTATAATAAATCAGTAATCTAATAAGTAAACTCTTTTCCTGAGTTCTTTGAGTCATTCTAGAAAATTGTTGAAACCAAGGACAGGGGTTGTGGGAACCCTCAATTTATGGCAGGTCAGTTAGAAGTACCAGAGGCCTAGACTTCCAGTTGGCATCTGAAGGGCAGCCTTATAGTAAGCCCTTAACCTTGGGATCTGATACTAACTCCAGGTGAATAGTGTCAGAATTGAGGTAAATTGTTGGACTTGCAGTCAGTGTTCTCAGAGAATTGAGGGGAGGATTGTCTGATAAGGGAAAAATACACAAACATATATACATACGTGTGTGTATTATGTATGTGTTTACACACACACACAAGTTGTCCTTTGGTGTGTATATACTTTGTACTAGTTTTCTAGGACTACCATAAATTGCCATAGACAGAGTGGCTTAAATCACAGAAGTTTATTTTCTCACAATTCTGGAGGTTAGAAGTCTGCGAGCAAGGTCCCCAGGGTTGGTTTCATCAGGCCTCTCTGGTTGGCTGGTAGATAATCTGTCGTCTCCCTGCGTCTTCTTATGGTCTTCCCTCTATAACTCTGTGACCAAATTTCCTCTTCTTATAAGGACACCAGTTTTGTTAGAGTAGGACCCAGCTCGTTTTAACTTAATTGCCTCTTTAGAGATCCTATTTTCCAAATACTATTAGATTCTGAATTGTTGGGGGTTAGGACTTCAGCAAATGAATTTGGAGGGAGGGGACACAATTTAGCTCATGACAAACTTACTGTCATTACTACTATTATTGTTATTTTTTATATTCTGTGTCCCCCAGCCAGAATGGTAGCTTCATGATGGCAAGGAGTTTTTGTTGTTGTTATTGTTGTGTTGTTTTTAAAGATTTTACTTATTTATTTGACAGATTGCACAAGCAGGGAGAGTGGCAGGAAGAGGGAAAAGCAGGCTCCCACTGAACAAGGAGCCTGATGTGGGGTTCCATCCCAGGACCCTGGGATCATGACCTGAGCCGAAGGCAGACACTAAGCCAACTGAGCCACCCAGGCATCCCAATTGTTGTTCTATTTTAAAACATACCTAACATTTAGAACAATGCCAAGCAACATAATAGATGCTTAATAAATAATAATAAGAGTTCTAGCCTCTTGATAAGTTCTTTCATCTTAAACACTCCTTTTATCTCTGGAAAATTCTCTTAAATTTCATTGATTTAGTGTCCCCCCCCCACTTCCAGTTTTCTATATTACCTTTCCAGTACTCCTATGAATTAAAATTTGGACCTACTTGATTGATCTTGTCTCATTTTTAGTCAATCTGTTCTACTTTTTTGATGATTTCTTCAATCTTAACTTCTAAACACTTCTACAAAGTATTATTTATTTTGTTAAACATATATTTAACTCCTATGAGCCCTTCCCTTGGTCCTGTTCCATGACATTCTATTATTGTTTTATAGGTGCTATATCTTTGCTGATCTTTTTGCATTTAATAGGTCTTACTATGTCTCTTGTTTTCTGAATTTTCTGTTTCTTCCTAAGCCATTTTTTGTTTGTTTTTACTGTTATACATTTCTTTTTGAGCATTTATCACCCAAAATTATCTGGCAGTCCTTGGTTGTACATTTTTATTTAATGGGACAGTAAAATACTAGGAGTTTTATTTTAGAAGTTTAAAGGTGGGATTTTTTTGCCCAGTGATGTCACTTTATGATGAGCAGGCAGTTACCCTGGAGGCTCCCTTCGAGGGAGAATGCGGAGGACTTTGGTTTCAGGGGCAAATGCTGACAGTGGCTGACTTATGTCTCCTCAGATAATTTATTCAACTTTCTTAGATAAAAACCTTCCAAACTTTTTACCTGGCTGACTTGCCGTACATGGGAGTATGGAATCAATGATTTCCTATATATGCTCTGAATTAATATCCTTGTTTTCACTTTTTACTCCCATCACATTATAGATGGCATTTCCAGTTCCCAAACTCTGTAGTCCGCAGGTCAAATTATGCTCCCTGTGGCTGTTGTCCTCGCCATGAGAGGCTCTCTCCTCTCTCTTGATCTGCTACCACTCCTCCATCTGCATATCATCCTTCAGAAATATGTTGAAATCTGTTATCAGTTAATAAGTCTATCCTATTTACTTTATTGTTTTGAGTTGATACTTAAAAATATATGTATATATTTTTCACCTTGTGTTTCAGGGTGTCTGAGGATATTTGAGGAAAGAAAAGTTTGTCATCGGTTTGTCTTTTTTTTTTTTTTTTTAAATCAGTTTGTTTGTCTTGAATTAGGATTCCTCAATCCTTTAGTAATTGGGCATATGGAATAGAATTTGAACTTATTTTGATAATGTGTATCTTCATTATAAATCTCCGTTACTGGCATGTGCTACAGATTGTTAAAATACAAACATGAGACATAGGATTGGCTGTATACTTAAGTCCAGTAGAGGTTTTAGAATATGGACTCTTTAAACAAAAAACCTTGAGTAGTAATTGTTTAGCGGTTATCACCACAGCAGCAGGACTAAAACTTTTATTGTTTTCTCTCTCAGTAGATTACCTTGTCTCCCACTCCACTCTTATTATCAAGTCTTTCTTTCTATCATGAACTTTATTTACCTTAAAACATCCTAGTTCCCTCTTCATGCTTCCATGTTGTTTCAGATGAAGTGCTGGAACCCCATCTTTTGTGAAGCTGACTCCTCCATTTGCTGTCTGAAGTCCTAGATCTGTTCTTCTCCTGGATCTGCATTTACAAATATGTTCAAGTCTTCCACAAAAACAAACAAACAAAAAAAAGAACAAGCCAAAACAGACAAACAAAAACACCTTTCTTTCCATCTTTTCCTAAAGCTACATTTTCATCAGGTGAAGCCCTCATTGCTTCCTGAGTTTTGTCTCCCTTTAAATGTAGGTATTCTCTCTTAGTGTCTTCCTTTAGTCCACTATTTCCTTGTTCTTTTCCGGGGAAATCCTATTTACGCCCATGACTTTAGCTATCACTGAACCCTAATTGCTTTCCTGAAGTTCAGGTGTTCTTCCCACCTACTCATTAGTACCACTCAGTATATTCAAAGACAAACCCATTAATCATGTTCCACCCTCATCCTCCTAGCCTTAACAAACAAACAAAAGAACCAGCCAAACACATTCTCTGTTTTTCCATGTTGATTGATCTGATTATCATTGTTTCAAGTCACATTAGAAGGAAATAGCTTGTAGGGCTAGAAAACACTCACAGTTATTGCAGCCTAAGTCACAGTAGAGTTATTTTAGCTTCCTTGCCCTCTGACCTCATATTTCCTTTTCCTGCATCTAACCAAACTTCTCCATTTTTCTGATTACACACAGGTCTGCAATTAAGGCCTTACGCCCTGGAGGGTTGCTTGTGTACTCTACATGCACACTTTCCAAGGCAGAAAATCAAGATGTCATCAGTGAAATTTTAAACTCCTACACGAACATCATGTCTGTGGACATTAAGGAAATGGCAAGGACTTGCTCCCAAGACTTCACATTTGCTCCCACTGGCCAGGAATGTGGACTCTTAGTGATTCCAGACAAGGGCAAAGCCTGGGGCCCAATGTATGTAGCCAAATTGAAGAAATCATGGACTACATGAAATTGGTGATATGCATTTTGTAAGCCATGACAGTGTATTATTATATTTACATTTCTGGGTTCTCAAGGTGTTAACATTTAAATAAATGTGGAGTCATTTTCCCTGGGTCTGTTTGGAATCCTGTTTCCTTAATACTTGGCATCTCAGAATCTAGGCTTGAGGATTTTCCAGGTATATTTTTTTCCCTAGAAGTATATCTATAGCACTGGTTTCAGGTGTTGCAGATGGTGTTTGTTCTGAATAATAAATCTGCTGTCTTTTAGTTGGCATTTTGTAGTTAAATTAATCAGAATATGTGGTTTTATGCATACTATGCTTAGGGATACATTGTATCCATGATGTTGGTGTTTTGAACCTTTAAAAAATGCACATTTGGCTGTCCCTTTTATAATTTTTCTCCTTATCAAATATACGGATTCTTTCAGAGTCCACCCCCCCCCCCCACATTTTTCTGTAAGAACTGATTAGTATTCTGAGACTAACTTCTTAAACGGCACTATTTTGAGCTCTAGAAAATAGGTTTCTTATTTGCCACATTGTTTTCCACTAAGGACTATCTTCTGTTTACTGCAAAGGTCAGTGACTCTATTGACACCAGCTTTATTTCTCCACTTTTTTTTTGTATTCACAAATACAAATTGAAAGGGTAAATTATGTTGAAAGGCTGTTAGAACAGCAGATTCACATGCACAAGTTTGACTTTCGACATTCAGCTTGTAGAATAATGGAGTCTATCCAGCAGGCTATAAAGCAAGTACTTGAAACAAAACCAGAATGATTAATAACTGAACTATATTTGGAGAGTTTTGTTACATAATTGCAGTCATAATGAGCACTACAGAATCTGATTATCTTACAGTTGCAATCTGGAGGGGCTTTTTATTTCACTCCCGTTATGAAATGTTATATGAGAGTATGATGTCACATATTAATGCACAAGAGGGAGATGCCTAATGAGAGTGGATTATACTATTACCAAAACCCAATACCATTTACTGTGTGGCTCTCCCTGTTTACATATATCCTGGAATATTGTGTACATTTTTGTTTATGTACTTAGGGTTTTAGCTTTAGGTTTGGATCATGTTTTTTCTCTAGAAATTGCTTCACTTAGAGTCCAAAGGTACTTTACCAACTATTAAGAAAAATTATGCAGCACACTTCAAAAGATAGTATCTATTTGGAAATTAACTTAAAAAAAAAACTAAAGAAATAGAATATTCTGCTGAAGCCGAATCCTTTTGAATTTGTTTACTATATTCTGCATATTTAAACTAGAGACTCTTATCTCCTGGACTGGTCCCCCCACACCAAGCATATATAACCAGTTTCTTATAGCTGGGAAAGAAAAAGCTGGATCTCTTGGACTCAATGAAATATTTTGGATTAAGACAGAAAATTAAAGATACTGGAAAATGTATTTTTTTTATTTATTTTAAGTTTGTATTTGTTGGCTTATTTATTCAGTTGAAAAACCTTGCCTTCATGGGACACCTGGGGGGCTCAGTGGGTTAAGTTATCTGCTTTCGGCTCAGGTCATGATCCCAGGGTCCTGGGATCAAGTCCCATGTCAGGCTCTCTGCTTAGTGGGTACTTGCTTCTCCCTCTTCTCCCCGCTCATGCTGTCTTCTCACTATCTCTCTCTCCCTCTCTCTCTCAAATAAATAAATAAAATCTCTAAATAAATAAATAAAACCTTGTCTTCAGGTACTGTAGTTAAAAAGTGCATTTATTCTGTGTAGGTTAATCACAAAGTAAATTTTCACAGTGCACTTTGTTGAATGTCATTATTTTTCCAACATGCTGCCATGAAGCCTAATCTGAATACTCAATGTGCCATTGGATTTGACCTTCCTATGATTATTGAAAAATGCAAATATAGATACATATATAGCTTACTTTATTGTTGACATTAATTATAATGAAACAGCTGGCATTTATGGAGCCTTAAATATTTGATTAATTTCTTTATATAAATGTTGTCTTTCTTGATCTTTAAAACAACTTGAGTATTAGAACTGCCTTTTGTGAATGAGAAAACCCTAGCTCAGTGCTGTTTGTAGCTTGCCAAGGCTACACTGGTAAGTAAAGAGTGGAGCTGAGATTAAAACTAACTCTGGAGTCCAGGACCTTCTCCGTATACTGTGCTGTCTCACAAGATAGAGATTATAGGAACCCCCAGGATTACAGCTGGTCCTTATTCTCCATCCCTCAGGTTTTCACTTGTATGCAATTCTTTAGTCACAGAGCATCAAAGGGCTAATCAACACTTGGGGGGGAAACAGCAGTATTTCAGAGTGTGCTCTAAACTGTTTCTTGTGATTGCAATACCCAGAAATCTCCCATGGAGGTGCTCTATGCCTTCCTGTTCTTTGCAGATGCTGAACTGAAGAACAGAAATTTGGAGCAGCCTTGCAATGTCAATTGAAAAGCAAAGAGTAATTGATATTACTTTCTGTGGCATTGAGTTACTTTCAAAATAGCTTTATAAAAATTTAGGTTGCTTACCAACACATTAACTTCTCTCTGCCTTCAGCACGCTGAATAGCCACTGGTTTCAGAAATAGACTATGAATAAATGTAATGCATTTAAATGGTTTATACTGAATTTTTAAAGCATTTGATATTACCTGTGGTTTGAAATCAAGGTGGCCTATAGTCCTTTATCCTATTATATGTATCCATATAGCCTCATATCCAAGATTGCATGTTACTCCCTTAGCAGTGTTGTGAAAAATATCCTTTTATACAATGTGAGGAGGTATAAAATAATAGGTACCAGAACACTTGCTACATGACTAAGTAAAGTAATCACAAATGTAATAGGCCCTCATCCAAGAAGGCCTTATACCTGGAAGATAAGCATCAGATGATCTGCATAGGCTGATGCAACTTGTCTGGAATACAAAGAGAAAATTGGAACCAATAGCAACAGTTTTATTAGATGCAAAGAAGTCCTTTGATGCAGTTGAATGGAACTCCTTGTATTATGTGTTAGGTAAATTTGACTTTGGGGACAAATATAACAGATAGCACAACCCATTTATATGGTTCAAATCAATGGTTTACAATCTCCCTTTCCTTGCCTTATTGCTGCACTGGGGAGTAAGGATGGTACCTATTACTGATGTTACTTTTCAGGCTGACATTGGAGTTACAATATCATCCAGATCCCATGGGTATCTGAAGGATATTCACATGAAGGTTCACAAATTAACTAATGTCTGCTGATAACCTACTACTTGCGCTGAAAGCCCTAACGGCATCTGTCCTGAAAACATTAAAAGTCATGTCAGTATTTGGAATGGCTTCATGCTGCAAAGTCATGGAAGAGAATCAGAAATACTACCTTAACAGAATAGTTTCTATTAATATTACTTACTGTGTGACATTTAAAATAAGATGAAAATTTAACAAGAATTGATTTGGGATTCTCATTAGGGAATGATTAAATAATAGAATGAAAACAAAAACAAATTTAAAAATTGACCTATAATTCAATGCTCAGATTTTTAAAAAATAGGTTTCACTAAATCTAAGGAGGAAGAAAGCCTGGCAAAGCATATATCTCTTTAAAATTTAATTAGCTCAATCAAATATTAACTCCATACCTTTCTATAACTTTTCACAAATGAAGAAAGTAATTTATTTCCTTAGTCATGTGAGATCATATAGTCATGTTGAAACCGGGTGAAAGCATATGCTATCTTAGAAAAAGGACTTTTTTTCTCACTGGAAGCTATTTGATGGCATACGTCATGACTCAATTAAGCTTGCTGTGGCTTGTCAGAGGGATTTTCTGCTGCATGTTGCTATGGAAGAGCCTATTACACACAAATAACTGTACAACCTAGCAGAATCGACAGAGACTAAAAACATAGCTAATTGGAAAATAAGAAGCAGGACCCAGTTTCTTCCTAGTTCTTAAAAACAAATAGGAATACAATTGCAGGTATTAATAAGAATGGACAAAGTTAAGAGGGCTTAGCACTGGTGATAGAAAAGGGGACTGAATATTCCAGCTTTTAATTACTAAGTTATAGTGTGAGCTTGTAGTTCATAACTGCAACTCTTTTTTTTTAAACATTAGTCTTTTTTTTTTTTTAAATATTCATCTACTTGATAGCGTGAGAGATCACACAAGCCATTGTGCGGGGGAGGGGTTGCGGCAGGCAGAAGAAAAGGGAAAAGCATGCTCTTCGCAAAGCAGGGAGCCCAATGTGGGACTCGATCCCAGGACCCTGGGATCATGACCTGAGTTGAAGGCAGACATTCAGCTAATTGAGCCACCAAGTGCCCCATAACTACAACTCTTCAGAAAAAGGAAAAGGGGACATGATGGTGACAATTAGCTCTAATGCTACTGGAAATTGTTCCGTATGATATAGCCATGAATAGCCAACTAGTCATACCACATTTCCACAGGTAGATATCCTTCTTGACTTGATTATAAAAACACCTCAGCTTAAGTCATTAATTATAACAAATATGTTTAATAAACAGAGAAGACTACATAAACTACCCATGTTTTATTAAAAGAAAAGTTTGCTTTTGTCATATATTCTAGCACAGATAATCTCTGTTAAATATTCTGTATGAAGCTATAGCTGTGCCCATAGACATGTTATTTTCAACTGCCTAGTTAACCTGGCCATACAGAGTTAACCAGGTTCCCTTCTCACCCCACAGTATCAAGTTGGGTGAAGCAAGTTGATGGAGTTTCACAAGAGGTGATTGTGAACCAGGAGAATGGTTCAGAAGAGGTTTAAGTAGGATCTGGAATATCACTCTGGGATGAGGTCCCGATTGAGTCAGTCAAGCATGTTTGCAAGTAAAGGACACTCCAGTAGGCCTAAAGGGCTGTAGGATACACTGCCAGGAAGCACATCAGTTTATGTGTTCGTCTATCTGGTCACTCCCTCTGCATTCACTGAGGACTTTAGGGTCTAGCTCATATCTTCTCCATTGGAACTCCTGACAAAGGCTGGATTCAACATCTTTCTGGAAAGCCCATCCAATATCCTACCCTTCTGATTCTTTTACTGACTCCCTCAATGGCTTTTGTCTTCACTGTATACAGTATCTCACATTCTTGGACATTTCCTAGAACTTGGTGTTAGCTAGAAGCACACTCTCCAATGAAGCTTTCTACATGATGGCAGTGTTTTATCTGCCATGTGCAATATGGAGAATATGGTAGCCATGTTTGGCTACTTAGCACTTTAAATGTGGCTAGTGTGACAGAGGAACATAATTTATATTTTAATTAATTTAACTATAAATAGCCACCAGTGGCTTTTGGCTATCATATCAGATAGCACAGATCTAGAATTTCTCTACTTAGGAAAAGTTAATCTCAGTATCTTCTATCCTTTCAGCTCTCTTACTCATTCTCATTAAAACTGCAGTCCAATCTTCTTGACACCTGTAGTTTTTAAACCTTTTTTCCTCAGAGGCTGTCCATTCCTCTTGCGGTCTCTTTTCCTTATCTGTCCTCAATCCTGTGATGAATGCCTTAAAACTTTTTTTCTGACACTGATATTATCTCCTCATACTTTTGGATTCTATGGCATCTAACATTTAAAATTGCAACTCTGGATCCGCCTAGTAGTTCCTGCAT